TATTCTATTCTATTCTATTCTATTCTATTCTATTCTATTCTATTCTATTCTAATTTTCTATGAGACAATTCTACCCTTAACACAAATCATTTAATATTTTGTATGTCATGTTTATTGTATGTGTCATGTATGACATAAAACATGTGTCATGTATACATGTTTTGTACACTAGATTTTGTATGTCAAAACAAATACTTTAATAAATTCCTCCATTTTACCAGCTGTATTCAAGAAACTCAAATTCTGCTTAAAAAAATCTTTTTATTCAACCCGTTTAAATGTAGATTTTTGTTACTTCCATAAACTGCTCCAATCCATTTTTAATTAAACATTGTGGTTTATTGATTGGCTATATGAACTGTTTAAAGTGTGATTGATTAACAAGAGAATGTGCCCCCTCCTCATGATCTGAGCAGACATTTTTTGAAACTTGATTTTCAATAAAAAATACTTGCAAATGCCTCCTCCCTCCCTCTCTATATGGGCTTATTTACAGTGGAAATTTACAGAAGTATTGGCTATGATTTCTTTAATTAAGCAATAGTTGAAATTCATGTTTTATTAGCACTACAATACAGAATATTGTTGAAAGGAACCATGCATGGGCACATATGAGTATGAGAATCCAAAATAGTAGTGTAGCATTTTCTTTTTTCTTAAAAAGAAAACTTTATTAAAGATTAAAAAAACACTATGTACAATACATTGAATACAACTTTACATTGCAGACAAAATCTATATATACAAATACATAATACATAAACATATGAAACATATGTTTCTGATCAACTAAGACGGTGTGATTTTTTATTGGTAATAATTTTACTACTAATCGTTTCTTAATTTGATAAACATTCTTAATTTAACCACTCCATTCATCAAAACCATCTCTTTTAATTTCCTGGTTTTTTTCTCTTTAATCCACTTATTCCATTTATCCTGTAATATATCTTGAGTCTTCCTTATTCCTAAGTTTTTGTGTGAGTAGGTCCATTTCAGCGCAGTCAAGTATCTTCTGAGTAATCAAATTATTTGTTGGCATTTGTTCGCCCTTCCAACATTGTGCCAACGCAATTCTTGCTGCTGTGATTATATGGAGAATTAAATATTTCATTTTGTTTGCATAGTCCCCTTTTAACATTCCCAACAAAAATATTTCCGGTTTAAATTCTAATTGAATACTTGTAATTTCTTTTATCCACAGTCTAATTTTTTTCCAATATTTTTTACTTTTTGGGCAGAGCCACCAAGTGTGGAAGAAGGTACCCCTCGTTTGCTTACATTTCCAACACATTGGACTCATGTTTGGGTAAATATTAGCTAACCTTGAGGGTGACAGATACCACCGGTAACACATTTTGTATTTTCTTTATAGATCGCCAATTTTGTTAATCATTTTGGTTCCAAATTTTTTCCCAATCTTCCAAATTAATATTGTGCCCTACATTCCTTGCCCATGCGATCATTGAGCCTTTAACTATTTCTTCCGTCATTTCGTATTCTAACAGATAGTTATACATTTTTGAGATTAATTTTTCATCTGTTCCCTCCAATATTTTATCTAGTTGATTCGGTTTTATCTCAATTCCAAACTCTTCTATGTCTTTTTTATATCTTGTTTTGAGTTGTAAATATGGCCACCATTCTATTTTCATCCCTTGCTCTCTAATTTCTTGATTCATCATTAATCTTCCTTGGGAATTTAGTACATCATAATACCTAATTTTTCTTCCAGTTTCTAATGCATTGGGGTGAATCAATGCCTCCATGACGGAAACCCATCCTGGGATCTTCGTATGTTTGTGTTTAATCTCTTTCCACACTTTTAATAGTGAACATCTAATTATATGCCTATTAAAGTGTGTATAACTTTTATTTCCAGGGTTCCACATCAAGGCATGCCACCCAGCTTCCAAATCATGCCCTTCTAGGATTAAAACTCTTTTGTTTCTCAAATTAGCCCAGTCCATGTTAAAATTGCCGCTTTATAATATAGTTCCCAGGCAGGGAGTCCAAATCCACCTCTGCATCTATTATCTTGTAAGGAGCTTAATTTTATTCTCGGTTTTTTCCCTGACCAAATAAATTTTGTAGTAATTTTATTTAATTCGTTAAAAAAAAATTATTTAATTTAATTGGAATATTTTGAAAGAGAAATAATATTCTTGGCAAGATGTTCATCTTAATAGTCGCTATTCTTCCTAACATTGATAATTGCAATTTCCCGCATTTTTCTAAATCTTTTTTATTTCTCATACCAATTTTACATAATTATCTTCTTTTATTATTGAACATCTTGCCGTGAGCCAAATTCCTAAATATTTAATTCTTTTTACAATTTATAAGCCCATTACCTCTTCTAATTTCTTTTTTTGTTTCTGTTAGATTTTTTGTTATCATTTTAGTTTTATCCTTATTGTTAAACCTGTCACCTCTCCATATCTATCTCTTTAATTAATTTTGGTCCTGATTTTATTGGTTCTTCTACGAAGAATACAAGGTCGTCTGCAAATGCTTGGGCCTTGTATTCTTCATTTTTAATTCTTAATCATCTCCATATTCTGTCTAATTCTTCTCAACAAAATTTCTAGAGTCGTGATAAAGAGCAGAGGTGAAAGTGGGCATCCCTGCCTGACTCTCTTTCCTATTTCAAATGGATTGGTCATTTCTCCATTGATTATTATCCGGGCTTCTTGGCTTGAATATATTGATTCTAACATTTTTTTCAAATTTATCTCCGAATTTCATTTCCTTTACTTGTTGCCTCATAAATTCCCAATTTACCTTGTCAAAGGCTTTTTCAGCATCGAGAAAAACTAGTGTAGTCTGTTTTTCTGGATGTGCCTCATAGTATTCCAGGATATCAAGTACTGTTCTTGTATTGTTTTTAAGTTGTCTTGTTGGAAGAAAACCGTTTTTATCAGTATGTATATATCTGCTTAGTATTTTTTTTAGTCTCTCAGCCATTAAATTCATAAATATTTTGTAGTCGGCGTTCAACAAGGAAATTGGTCTATAGTTGTTTATATGGATGATATCTGCACCCTCCTTCGGTATTAGTATGATGTATACTTCTCTCCACGACCTTGGTAACTCTGCCCATTTAAGTATTTCATTATATATTTCTAAAAGAATTGGATCAAAAATTTCCCCTAAATTTTTATATAATTCTGCAGGTAAACCATCTTTTCCAGGAGTTTTATTGTTTTTTTGTTTACTAATTGTTTCTTTTATTTCCTCCATAGTAATCTCTTCATTTAATCTTTTCCTTTCTTCTTCTGTTAGTATTGGAATATTTTCTTCCTCTAGATACTGTTTAATGTTCTCTTTACTCATATTTTCTTGTTTATAGAGTTCACGAAAATATTCCAATACTATTTTTTTCTTTTCCATATTATTTTGTATCTTTCCCTCTTTATCTTGCAATTGCTGTATCCATCTCTTCTCTTTTTCCTTCCTTAACCTATATGCAAGCCATCTCCCCGGCTTATTTGCATTTTCAAAATAATTTTGCTTTACTAATTTCAGTGCTCTTAAATTTCTTTCCTGTTCATATTCGATTTATGTTTAGCTAACTTACATTTATAATTTGCTCATTTTCTGGTGCTAATTGTGCTTGTCTTTCCAATTTTCTAATATCATTCTATAACCCATTACTTTCTTTTTCTCTTTCTTTTTTCTTTCTAGCATTATATGCAATTGTTATTCCTCTTAGATAGGCTTTCGTTGCATCCCACAGATTCTGTAAAGGGGTGTGTTCTTTTTATTTACACCAAAAAACATTTCTATTTTTTTAAATTTTGTTATATATTCTTTGTCTCTCAGAGTCTGTGTGTTCAACGTCCACCTTCCTCTTTGTTTTGATTGACCTTTCCATATTACTATTATGGAGTTATGATCTGCCCAGATATTTGGTGCTATTTCTATTCATGCATGGGCACATATGAGTATGAGAATTCAAAATAGTAGTGTAGCATTTTCTACAAAATCAAGTTTCCCAGAATATCCCCTCTCCAACAGACTACTACAGTAATCAGTACTGCTGGTAAGAATGTGGGATTAATCCTGACTGAAACTATGCAAGAGGGTGAATGAGGTTTAAACATCTTGCTCATTTGGTTTGCAAAATGTTCCTATCTCTGATCAAGTACTTTAGAAAAAGGAAAAAAAAAACAGAATTGACGATTTAAGATTTCACCAAAGCTGATACATAAAATGTAATGTTTCATTCAAGTATTAATCATTTAAGAATAGTGTGCGCTAAGGGAAAAACGTAACATTGAAGCTATTTTAAACACTCAGCTTAAAAGCCTAAGGAAGTTTCACTGAATGAAGCATATTCTAGAAAGTAAAGGTTGCAAAATTATTGGGCCTTTATGTTCCTTAATGTCTATGGCAGTGCTTCTCAATCCTGGCAACTTTTAAGATATGTGGACTTCAACTCACAGAACTACCCAGCCAGCCTGCTGGCCTAAGGAAATGTCCATGCCACCAGTAGACTGAAACCAAAATTGTGCCACCAACTCAAAACAAGAGAACTGAAAATGTTTTGCTCAGAAGAAGACATAAAGAGAAGGCAGTAGCCTAAAAGAGAAATTTCTCTGTCCAAAGAATTACTGTAACATTCAGGAATACTTTGGAAATTCAAAAGATAATCCACCCTGGGAAAAAAAAGCGGATAGCTTACAAATCCCTTGATAAATAATATTTGCAGGATTCCCCAAGTCTTTCCTTCTTCAAGACAAATTCAATCCCAGCAGTATAATAAGACCATATGTTCTCCAGCCATTCTTTAAACATTCAATTTAAAACATGCTATTTAACATTCACATTTTGCAGCACTCCCATCCTACCTGCCCAGCCAGTATAACAAGTACAGTCCCTGGGGTCGGCAGATTTCAGGCCTCTTTCCATCTGTTGGAGAAGTTCCTTGATTTTATTATTCAGATGCTGACTGAATTCAGGAGTGAGCTGTAGATGTTAATAAAAACACAGTGGTTATGTCTCAGCAGACACATTGTCACTTATCAAGATGTGCCAGACTAAATACTTTGAAGTGCTCTATACTTTTAAGAGAACCACCTTTTTAGAAGTATAAAGGACATAAACAGCTGCCAGACTGGAAGCAGTAATTTAAAAAGGGAAAGAAAAATCCAAATTCATTTTTATAGAAAACCCTACTACTTCAGCCACACTTTCTTCCAAGTGATTAAGAATTTAACCTTAAATATGTAAAACTGTATTTCTCTCCCCTGGTGATACA